AAACGTATCGTCGCTAGATAGAGAAGGGGCCTTCTGGGCTTGATTCTGTAGCCGATGCGACTGCACTTGGAGGCTTGCGGTAGAAAAGATGGTCCGAATAACTTGGACGCGCCCCTCTCTTGTTGGGTGCACGTCGCAGCGGATTCTTCGGGGTTCTACCGGTGATCTTTGATGGATGATTCGCGGGACTGCGGGGTACTGTACCCAGCCGGACGATCCTCCGTTGCTTGAAGGGATGGTTGGGATCGATGAGTACTATACGCCTGTAAAGAGCTATTTTAACAAGAGGCATACTGGAAAATGCGAATGGTCTTCGACTGGGAAAAGCTTAGAATGAGGCGCGGAGAGGATCGATCGACCACACCAATGGAATTGGCGATGTACGGAGATCGGTGCAGGAGGGCGGGGCGGGACTGGCTATTGGAGTTTGACATCTTCAAAGACGCCGGAGACGGAGACAACGGTTCGTTCAGATATGGGCAATATCGAACGATTCTTAAAATCTCAATAGTTGTTGATCGTTGTGGTACTGTAATTGTCGTTGTTATTGTTTTTTGTTTGCTGACTTCTCGACATGTAACTTATTCTGCCGAGTCAATTGTTTCGAGTCACGTAGCTGGAGTATCAGCTACGCCGATAGTTCCTTTGAACCGGCTATACATGAAGCCAAATTGCTTTCCCAAAGCGGAAATAGGATAATATGTATGGTGTCGCAAAGGACTATCTCCTGGCCGGCCTGGTAGTCTGCATGGCGGCCTGATCTGGATCAGCGGATGGCCGCTTGTAGGCTTGTTATGCTTATCTTGATAACGAAGATCGTGGACTTCGAGGTCTTTTAGACAGAAGATACGTGGATCTTTGCGTGGAGATATACTGGCTTGGCAATCTCAGGTATCTTGGTGGTTGAAAAAAGCTTCAGGTTCAACTGTTTGGGAAAGAACACCATGTGAAAAGGCTTGTTCCAGAATTCAAGAGGCTAGGGCTTATGGTCTGTAAGAGTATCAACAAAGTTCAGGAATGGGTGAGTGGAAGGATTCCTTGAATTCTTAGCAGTCTAAAGTTGCTATTAACTGACTTCCTGATTTGTAGATTGACTTAGTGAATTGCTTCAGATCATGTAGCCAATCTACCAGCTACACCGATACTGTGAATATGTAGAAATTCGTATGGTTCCATTATGGCCAGCTGGGCTGCTCTCTATGCTGGGTACTTGCGGGGAAAAAAGAGTATGGCTCTTGTGCTTGGCTGTGTGCTCTAAACAGTATCAACATGTTGTTGGCCTAAGGCTAGCATGTACTTCTCGAGAAAATCAAAACTCAGCAACGAATCGATACTCGTACAAATCTATTATCGAACACGTGTATGTAAGGTACAACAATCAAACACCAGATCTCCATCAATGACACCATCCATATCACCAAAGCCGTGAAGATCATTCCCAATAACGCAGCCCAAGAAGACAAGATAACCACCCCCGCCGATTAAGTAGTAAACAAAGCTTGTCGGTATGTACAGAACCTTTCTCAGTATAGATACAAGTGAATTAGAGACGAAGTAAAAAGAACCGTGGTATCGTGTCGCACAGTCGTGGTTAACAGAGTGGTATCATAAGTGGCAGGAACAAGAGCGAAAATCAAAACAGATAAGCCAACCCAGAAAATAGGTGGAAGCGCAATTTGTACAAGACGAAAGATAAATCATTCTTCCATCAGAGCGTCGTCGCCGGTTTCCCGCCATTCTTTAGAGCGGTCAGTCAAGCGGCGGACTCCAGCCACGCGCTGTGCCCAGTGAGCTTCAGCAGGAGAACGGAAGGTGTAACCACGCTGCGAGGAGATCACGCCGATTCCCTGCAGAACAGCCTTGCGCGAGTCGCGGGAGAAAACAGCTGGGTGGTTGATCCACTCCAGAGCGGCCTTGAGATCAGCGTCCAAGGCGGTCATGGTCTGCGCGTCAACCCCAGCTCCTGGCGTGATGGTTGCCGTGTCTGAAGATCCGGAGTGGCCATCGTATGAGGACGATGTGGGGGTCCCACCTCGACTACCAGAGTCACTAGCACCAGAGGGCTTCGCTCCAGGAGGAAGAGGAGGCAGGCTACCCTTACCAAGACCCTTCAGGATACTGCGAGTCTCGGTCAAAAGATGTTGTGCGCGATCATGCTGCCCACGCGACACGAGGATGAGAGCTCTCGTTAGCATGTCGGACGTCAATAACTCCATGCGTCGCTGAACAATGGACGGAAGAGGCGGAATAGGGGGGCTAGAGGGACGGCCAGGCTTGGCTTTCGGGTTCGGAGGAAGCATAGTAATGGCCAACAGCGAAGGTCGGGGAGAATGTGTGAGATGGCCGTCTCTCAAGAGGTCACCATAAGTCAGATCTGCCTGGATCAATGGGACCTCCTCCACACTAGACACACGCTGGTCATCAGTGTCCGATACACCTCCAAGTGCCTCGAGTCCCGAGACTAGACTCTCCCAGGCGTCTTGAGGCAGATTGTCCTGACTCGAATTATCCGGAGGAATAACGAGTTGAACGAGAATGTCGCGCTTATCTCCGAAGCGCAGATCTCCAAGAGCAGCCTCCGCATCGCGCCCTGTGGCCCTTTTTGTGGTGTGAAGAGCGCCGCTAATCTTGACGAACTTGGCCGGGGACCCTTCGGGCAGACGAAGCTTGAGTTTGACATTTTGGTGCGAAGTCGATTGCAGGGAACCCAAGCAACCAGCCACGCACTCGCGAAGCATCATCCAGTCCTTGACATAGAGGTATGAACCTTTGGTGCGAGTTGACAGTTCGATCATCGTGTCCGGTTTATGGGTCAATCCTAGACCGAAGGAGTGAATGCTAATCCTGCATATGGTCAGTATAAAAGCACTTCTCAAGGTGGTATGACGAATACGAACTTGGCAGCCTCCGCACGGGAGACAACGAAATCGACACTCTCCGGATCGGACGTGGAGGAATCGCTGATCAAAAGGATAGAGGAGACAGGGTTGGCCGACTTGCGCTGCATGAGCAGGTCCATAGCCACATTAGCACCTTCAACGACGTCGGCACGAAGGCTCTTCTGGCCCACCGGGCGGATAGAGTCAAGAATCTTGCTCCAACCACCCCAATTCTTGGTAGTCATGCCGACTAGCGGAACCCCTCCACCACTCGAGCCGAAAGTCACCAACCCCATGCGATCGCGAGGGCCAAGGTTCTGTACAAGGAACTTGAGAGCATCTCGGAGGAGAGTAATCTTCAGTCCCTGCATGGACGAAGAGACCGGTATCACGACAACAAGGTCCAGGGGAATGTGAAACGAGGATTGATATGGACTATCCATGCCGGCATTGGTATAATCGGTGATAGCCGTGTTGTTAGAGCGAGCCGCTCCGTGGGACGAGTTTAGAGAAGCCTGGCGTTTGATCTGGCTGGCTCGGTACTCTTCTTCCTCCGCACCAGAATTATCCAAGTCAAAGTCGCCGTTCCGGGACATGCCATCCACTGGATGTAAATCGATGAGCGCCCGTCGCCAAATGTCAAGCTGTTTCCGGGTAGGGAAGCGAAGGTAGAAGCAAGGAAGCTCGGCCACAGACAAGTTCAAAGTCAGGACAAGGTCATCTACAACACTGTCAATCATCAAGGTCACCTACTCCTGGCAGTTCAACTCACCTGGCGAGACCTCCATGCTCTGAAGGTGCTTCTTGATCAAGATTGATCCTTTCAGCGTTGACCTCGTAGTCTTTGCCTTCGCTGGCTCCTCATCAGGGTGACGACGGGGGTTGCTTTTCTTCTCCTTCACACAAATGAGCATCTCACCGAACAGATAGCATTCCAGCTCCTGCCAGGATTGACGATCTTTGCCCACGCTCATCTGACCATGCAATCTAAGCTTGCCGAACCTTTACTCACGTCAGCTTCAGGGATGCACCAGCAATTGATGAAATGAACCTACCGTTGGAATTCCAGGCCATGCCAATTGTCAACTTTCTTACGCAACTGCTCCGCAAGTTCGTCCAGATTCTCCTGCGGTTCGAAAGGAATCTGTCGAGGCTCTTGAACGGTGGGAAATCGCATGGCGCTCAATGTTTCGTCCTGTGGTTGAGGCGTAGCATTTTCTGTGTGGCGTAAATCATCGTCATCTGGGCGCCAACTACCCTCGGGCACTTCGACGGTGATTAGACAGGTCAGGGCCTGCTGTTGGCGGGATCGGTTGAGAGTGGGAAATTCGCTGCGAATGGTCACAGTCGGGGCCGGGATGGGGTTTTTCGTGATGGGTGGACGGGGGCTGAGGTCGGACTCCATGGCTTGCACGTCGTAGTCATGCCGTCTGACATTGGCCGAATGTTGTGGATCATTGTAATCGGCGGATGACCCGGCGGCACTGCCGTTTCGTGAATGCTGTTGGCGGGAGCCCTGGGTGAGACGTTCGACACGATCGCGATGGCTACCAGTGTCTCTACTGTCTCGACGGATATACATATCCCGACTTTCGCGGTTGGTATTAGGGCGACTTCCTGCATCACTGGGACGACGTCCGGGGGCTGAGTTCGAATCCCATGGCGTAGGGGTCGTATAACCACTTCGTTGCGTAGCTGCGTCGCTGGTCACTGAGCGGACAATATTGCTTAGTTTTTCTATGCATGATCGATCAGCACATGTCAATATGACACCTAGAGCGCACTTTCCACCTACCGAGATCGAGCACATTGCCTCCCCGACTAGTGTCCAAGCCAAGCGGCGCATCGCATGTAGGGCAGTACTGGCCCTCACATTCGCGGATAAACTCATAGAAGCAGGCCTCGTGTGATACGTGTGCGCAGGAGAATTGCAGAACTCGCTCTCCCCGCAGGGTATGCTCTAAGGGCTCGTCACACACGGCGCAATCACTGCCCACAAAGGTCCTCTCGCGCCGCGTCCGGCTGCGGTCCACGTCCACGGCCGCCATGGGGTTTGCTGCGCCGACAGAGCCAGAAGATGAATTGAGGTTATTGTTCGGATAGCCGGAAGCACTATTCGCGTTTGAAGATGCGCGGGGTCGAGTGGGGTCGGAATGGCCTGAATAACCGCTCCCTGGACGGTCTGAACGGTGGGTGAAGGAACGAAACGGGCGTAATGAACGAGTGTTAGAGTCAGAACCGGAGGTGTCTGCAAGCGGTGATTCGTTGATCGATGTCAGTCACTGAAGAGAAAAGATGTAGTCGGGGGTGATGGACCTCAGCGGTAGAGATGAAAGTAAGGAAATGGTAGGGTAGGGTAACATAACACAGCGTGCTCTCCCCGTGGATTCCGGAATGATGGCCGTCTTCTCTAAAGACAGAGAGCAGCGATGCAGTGCAGAATTGAGAGGAAGTAGGAAAGAGAGAGGTGAGTGGAGAGTAAACGCAGTTTAAGGGTGTGGAGGAGACAGGAATGGGTCCAAAGGAGAGACAGCAGAGGGACCAGAAGCAGAGAGAGGCAGAGGTAATGTTGTAGCAGCAGCAGGAAACAACCATATAAGATTCAAGCAGCCGAAACCTAACACATCCTCATGACCAACGCTAGTACGAGAGCAGATAAGAAAAGCAATCAAGACAGTGGTATAGACTTACGAAGCGGAGACTTCTTTTTCGAGCGACCAAAGAAACCACGCTCGGATCCGTGACGGGCTGGTATGTTGGTTCCAGGATTGGAATCCGATCTAGAAGGGGGCCGATGTTTCCACATGGGCCTGTTCAAACACAAGACTGACGGGTATAAGACAGGATAAGACAGGAGAGAAGGGAATGGAAGCTGAAGGGGGCAGAGAGCTCTGAGCGCAGCTTGCTTGAAGCCAAAAAGCAAGAGGATTTACTGCTTAGGGGGGGCGTGTGGAAGGAGAGGAGGAACCAAGTGGGGGGGCGGAAGAAGGTCTGGTGGGGGTAGAAGCAACTCTGAAGCAGAAAAAAAAAGGGCCCCCGATAATGATGATGATGATGATGATGAGACCAGAGGCTGGAAAAGTTGGTGAGCCAAAGGTTGGAAACACCAGGGTCACTTCGGAGAGGGGAAGAAAAATTATCAAGAGAGGAGAAAAACTAAGAAGAGTAGTGACGAAGGGAAAAGAGGAGGTGCAAGTTGGAGATATCGTGATGGTGCGAATAATTTTACGACGGCGCCATTGATAACCCACTTCTACCGGAGAACTCAGTACGCAGACTGTATTGGTATCAGTCGATTTTGTTTTATTTTATTTTATTTTATTTTATCTTATACTTTTTTTATTTCCTGGTGGTCTTCTCTGCTGAGGATTCCTGGCGTCATTTTTTTCCCTCGCACAATTCTACAGAGGTGCCTTCTTACCACTGGAAAGGCTGCAGGTACTGCAAATGAGCCGTGGTTGCGGCCCCCGGGAAGAAATCAATTCATGGTAAAGAAGTCTAAAAAAAAAATTCAAAAAAAAAAAAAAAAGGAAAAAGAAAAGAAAAGAAAAAAGAATAAATAAGAAGAAGAATAATGAACAGGGAAAAAGCAAAGAAAGGAAACAGAAAAAAAGAACCGAACTAGGCTTTGAGTGGGGCAATTGGCAGCCGAGCCATTGATGTTACAGACTCACCAAGCCCACTTCTGTGGGGCAGATCCAGGGACTTGATACCGTCCGGTTACCGTGCCAATTCCTATCCTCATTAACAAAGTTTACACCTTTCTATATGGTTTGCCCCTGAAGACATACTAACTGCCTGAGCAAAGGTCGTCCGTCGGTCTTAATTAAGGTGAAATCACACGAGCCCTATAGACTCATTATGCAATATGCATCGGTATAGTCCGGCACTGGCACTTTCCTGGGGTCCTCGGCAAACGGGAGACGGACGGGCATATGCGAGGTAGGGAGGACATTAGTTATGTTCATCATCCCAGTTCAACCCATCCCTAGAGACTTGAAAACCTGAAATGAGAACCAACCAAGTAAGCCGGTAGGCAGGCAGGCAGAAAGGCAAGCAGGGATCAGTTGATATCAGACTATCAATTGCCTTGCTAAGGACGTAGGGATGTCTGTGGTTCTCTTCTCATAGCCTGGATATGTCCATTCCATCTATCAGCTCCGTACCCTCGGAGATTTTGTCTTGTTCATCATTCATCAGCCCAGCCACGACCGGGTTTTTAGTGTCTGCAGGTCGCCACTATCGGGGTCCGTCATGCGCCTCATCGGTCGTCTTGCTGCCTTCCAAAGGCTGCCATAGATAGATAGATAGACCTTGGGGAAATGGTGACATGCAGAGCTGACGATGTCTATCGAAGTCTGTTATAAGGATCCTCGGGACTCCAGTCGATACTCTTGCACAATGCAGCAACGATTGACCTCAACAATGCGCGGTGGGTTGTCGATCCCTGAGCGTTTTCTGTCAGGTCTCCTGGGGTGACTGAGTGACTGGATGACTGAGTGGGAAAGCAGCATCTCCGGCGTAATTCTCCTGAGTTCCTGAGTCGAAGTTGTAAATTAGTGTCGAAGGGTTCACCCATGGGAAAGCATGGCAGGACTGTTAGGGTGTTTAGAAAGAGGTTAAGTACGTAACCCGCCGGCCAACGAGTGGTGGTGGTGGTTGCTGCATAACAGCGGGATCCCCACCGTGGGTGAACTTCTACCCGCATGGCTAGACTAAAGACTAAGGTACTGTATTGAAGGTACGGAGTACCTAGTATACTTTTACCGTACTGTAACCAACGCTAAACCTACTCGGTCCCTATTCCCTAGTCTCAACTCTCTCCCAGCTGTTCCCCCTCTCTCACCCCCTAATGTCTGAACCGTCAAAGAAAAAAAGGGGACACAGACAGACACTCACACCACTCTCTTCCAAGGAGGATAAGAATAACTGACTAGTAGGTTGCCTTGGTTGTTCCTCTTTGTCTGCCTGACCGAATAACTTGGAGACTAGGGATTCTCTAATCTGCACCCTGGCGGATGATTCATCCACCGGAACCTGACTGTTGGGTTCAGTCCAAAAATCCGACCATGCGGGGAATCAATCCATAGGTAATCAATCTATCGGCTCTCTCTCTCTCTCTCTCTCTCCCCACACTTGCTTTCCGACCGCAATTGAAGCGCGGCAAGCAATTAATTTGAGAGGCGAACTAAGGTACGCTGATGGTCTGTAGCCTGGTACGGTCCCTCAGGGATCAGGAGCCAAGCATGTCGTCAATGTCTGCAATGTGGTCAAAGAACCATTGGCATGAGACATGAGAGAAAGACCTGGTACCAGACTAACTTAGTTGTGTAAGCATTGAAGGTAAGGTTTAGTGCATGGACTACAAGTTGTTCACTTGGACCATCGTTCGTTCGTTCGTTCGTTCGTAGGCGCAGCAGCAATGCTTGTCCGCCTCCGCCTCCGCCCTCATCCCCATCTTGGTCCAATGCATACAAAAACGCATACACCCTCCGTTCCTCCTGCCCTACAGCGTAAGGATTCGGCCCCCAGTCAGCCGAAATCCTATAGAAATTCGAGGACGACCACAGGCTGCCATGGAACGCTGTCCAGCCCACGGATGATCGGCCCCCTTCCGGCTTTGCTGGATGATCGTCTGATCCGAACCATAGGACGACTTTATCGGTGGTGTGTTATCGGTGCGGTAACCTTGTTGGAGGTGGAGGAGGAGATTGCTTGACCTCTCCATTCCTCCAACTTGATAGATGTAAACCTTAAATCAAAAAGCAGCCCTGTGCACCGTAACAACACACCACAGTTCAAAGCATAAGTGGGTGCTTGTCGACACGAGGTGGTTGGTGAATGAAGTCGGTGCGGTGCAAGCAGTCCCCGCGACCGAGACCTGACCTCATCTTGGCAATGGCGATTCCTCTCACTCAGTGCCCTGAACGTAAACCGAGTCTACCTTCTCCGTACTGTACCTACGGCACAGACCATGGTACAGCCAAACGTATTTCACCCGAGACGAGGGCATAGCCATCGGGGTCTTGCCGATGTATCACGTTGCCGTTGTGCCCAAATCTTTGCACCATTATGGTCAACCGTGGGTCGCCAGTGGCAAAGCACGCGTGCTTGTTCGACAACGGTAGGGCCAGCGATAACGTTTGGCTTCGATGGAAGGTTGGAACGCTGTCAAGGATCACTTGACGGCATCGTTCATCGATTGCCAGCCTACTCCAACCGATTCCCATAACTCTTCCTCGGTCGGTTCCTTCGAGAACCAGCCGGCCGACTCGGCTGACTCTTGCTCTGCCAGATGCCGACCGCCCGTCTATTCATTCAGTACTCCATACGGAGTACTTCGTACTGTATCGAGGATGGATCGTCCCTCCCGTATCTCATCTGGAGCCCCACGATTCAGATCTCTGCTCCCCCAGAACCCGGATTTCAACAATATGCACAGATGCCAGAATTCATTGAGTGACTAGTCATGCACGAGCTGAGAGGGGGGGGTAAAACTGGACGGAAGTGGTCGGGACAGTAGCCACCACCACCACCACCACCACTAACTTACTGTCTCCTTTAATCTCCACTGTCAAAGGCGTTGGACTGGTCAGATGTCGCCTCGCCCAGCTCGACAACCCGACAATTGAGCGCAGTCGGAGATGCTTAACAGAAGTACGATTGACTGGAAATAACCACCTGAAGCAACGGCAGTCTCGGACATTCCGTGCAGACAATCTCCACTCCACTTGTGAGGGAGAAACTACCGGAGCCACCATCCTTGAATAGAGCAAGTCCGTCGCGCTGCCAATATGGCCAACAACCCACCATTACCGCTTAAGCCAACCATGATCTCCGACAGGTTCATGTAAGCGGCCCCTAGAATTACCGTTGACAATATGGCGCAGAGTGAAGTAGATATCCTTGTCCTTGAAAAGGGGGTTGAAACAATCGTGAAACCCGCCTAATAACCACTTTTTGAGAGTCAATCTCGACCGTCCGGGTAGCACGGCCCTGGACAATGAATTGCGATACATTCCGACCGGCGATCAGGTGTATCACGCAACAAGAGTAGTCTACGAGCCAGATATGCCTGGTTTGAACACGATCGTGTTGTCAGGTCGTTTCCTCAAATGCGACCTGTCATGGACGAGGGCCGCAAAGAAGGTACAGTGGAACCGATCACTCCCCATCCGCCCGCTATGGCCAATTTTCAGAGGCCATCATGTAGTTACTGCAGAAGGATAGATGGATTATCTGCAGAGAGCTTGAGCATCTGTCTGCTGCCCTCCGCGTCTTCGGCCAATTCACCTTCCCAGAAAGGCTGTCGAGGAACCAATAAATCGCATAGTCTGAGCCTCACGCAAGGTGACTCCATCGATCAGTGGGTTTGCAACGACGATCTTCCGCAGGTCACTGTGTAGATACTTGAGTAAGTCGCCTCGCTGCGGGATTTGAGCATCGGTTCATCATCGGATCGCCTCTATGTGCCTTGCCAATCTATTGACGCGAATGTGATTCAAGGTGCCTTAGTTCAGTCTATACCTCGGTCCCGACTGACTGGTTCTGAGTGCGCATACTGTGCGTATTTCCACAGGCAGTGGAAGGCCTCGATCACGCCCCTTTATCGATAGTGCTATAATTAATTCTGAGGTATGGGTTTGTAGTGGTCAATGCGATGACTAGGTACTCATACATCCTTCACTGCTGAATTGCTGATAGCCTGATACTCTGAAGGTCAGACTAATTAATTTTAGCAGGGAACGGTTCCTCGGAACTCCGGGGGAGGATTGCACTTCTTGGGGTAGTGCTCCGTTTCGCAGTATCATCGATCTATACTATACTCGTTACAATAAATTCGAACTTGGAATTACCCGGTGCTTTCCCATTGAGATTAGTGGCGATACACCTACTAGTATCTCCCAGCAGTCAGTCATCGGATCAATGCTATGCGTGATGTCATCCACAATCCGCATTTTACGATGGTCTCGAAGACTCTCAGAGGAACAATCGAATACTCCGTACCTCCTCTCTTCGGATCTTACATCCAGAATCTCCCTCAATAACCCGCGGCCAGGCCATACCATACCGCTCGATACAACCCGAGCAGGCTAATTGTGACCATTTCCACCCGAACTAGCGAGGACTAACCTACTAAGCAAACTTTAACTGAAGCAATGCGATTGCGATTCCCCACCAGAGTCATGAAAGTTTTCCGGCTTCAGAACACAACAAATCGCACTCTTCTGCTTTCTTCTAGAATTCCCCCGGTCTGAAACTTCTTGCGATCTACCGAACCTTGAGACAGTAGTCGATGAACTATCGTCGGACATGGTCCAGAAGAGGCAGGTCTCTTTGATCCCGCGAAATCGAACCGTGAGAGAGTCATGCACTTAGCTGCTACACTACACTCTAGCAGAGGTCCGACTCGACCTCGATCTTCCGGATCAGCAGCGCGATTCTGTTCACAGCTGAAAAGAGGATTTGTACTGCGATGTGCCGTGTCTTTGTGTCTCTGTGATAAGATCTACAACCACAAAATACTTCCGCACATCACTGACCCGAAAACTAGGAGGTTTTGGCAAGCGCAGCCCCGAACAGCCAACAGGACTTATCCCTGCTCAAGAGCTCCATTCAATTGCTTTTCAGGAAACGCTCCAGAAGCTGCGCAAAAATAGCTAGAACAAGGTCTTCCAGGACTATGCCTTTTTCGAGTGTTGATTACTATTTCCAATTGTCAGGCCCCATGCAAAAAGCCCCCCCTCTGTGACTGTCACGAACAGTATCACTGATACCAGTCTTGGGCTTATCCACCCCGCTGCCACGTTTCGAAGGGAAACGAGAATTCAAATGTGGGCTAGATATTAATAACAACGAACTATGGGGACTTGCGGACGAGCGATGGTGCCCCCACTGCCTATTTACACATACGATACGAGAACAGGCTCAGTCGAGCTGCGCGAGTCAACAGCAGCACGTCGGCGCATAATAAAAAGCATTGAATAGTTTGGCAAATGCCTCAATAGCAAGGAGTCGCATTAGGCTGACATGATTACCCTAGATCTCGCCCCTTTTTGTATTGCGATCACCAACTAGTCAACGACCTCAAGGGCTCTGAACACAATTACCGTATCGAGGCAAGTCTGAGGACGGTGTTCAATGTGTCCTGCGCTTCCACCAGATTAGGTACTGTTAAGGTGCAGCCCACCCTGAGCGATCATTCGGGATCTGCCCGAATTTCTGGCTGATGTTCGTGCCGATGCACTGGTTGTGGTCGCTTAAATATCCGCATGGAGTAAGCTGATCTGGAGCCCCAGGACCCACCAGGACGGACGATGAAGCATTCGAAGCATCAGATTTATACCTACCTGTCCCCGTTCTTGACATCTTGGTGTGCGTTGCTGCCATGCAACGTCAGAAATAGCAGACAGGTGACGCAGGTGTCAAATCTCTGGCCTCTATTTGCCCCAGGGAAATCGAGGTATCGGTTATCGCGCGACAGGAATTAAGACACCCACAGCTATGCTAGCCCAGGTACACAGCCAGGATGGCCTTAGCATCACTACCTATCATCTTTCAACGCTCGAAGGAACAATACCCTTGTCTCAAATCCCGATTAACCTACAAGCAAACAATTCATCTGTTGGGACCCGGACGCCTGTCAGCATAGTCCAACGTGCACCCCAGCTTGCCGCTTACGGTTTCGCGTGGCGCTCCCAGCTAGACTTCAATGGGGTATGAAGACTCAGAAAAAGCAAGAACTTCATTCCACGGTCCAATTGAACCTATGGTCAATCGGCGACAGTTGCACCGCCACGACCCAATATTATTTTGTGGTATGCAAGTCGTGGTGAGATTCTATTTTCTTGCTTTTGCCATGCTCCGGTCACTGGGGCCAAAATGTCAAGGCGGGATCTGCCTCGACGATGCCAACAGAAAATGATGTCGGAGGGAGTTGGAGCATGGACAAGTTTCTTTTTCATAGATAAGCATACCTTGTCATTCGAGTATATGGTCGAAGACGACTGGGATCATGCTGGCAAGGGTACAACGCTGAGCACCTATTCAACAGAAGGCATGCATGTTGCAATAGCTCTAGAGTAGCTATACTTTTTATCTTGCGAACAGTGGCACAGATGAAGTCTAGATCACTGACCACTTAAGCAGCCAGAGGTGAAATATTTGGATGGTGATCATGGTGTTCTGTAGTCCCATGCACAGACGGTGTGTCCCCGGATGATATGTTTTTTGTATATATATCGAGGCTGAGTTACTACGGAGTCACGAGCGGTCGATCTGGAGATAGATCCTGAGCCACGGCCACAAATCTCCTTTGGCTTCACCTCATATGCTCTAAGGGTTTATCATCGCCCAGAGACAGTTCTGTGGTTTCGACTCCGTCAGCCTAAGTCACTTTAGCTTCAATGTTTAACCGCACTCAAGGGAGGAGTTCGGGGCTAACATAGTCCGATGCTGCCAAGGCTCCGGCGGTGACGCCCGGAGTGATGGAGTTGACCGCGACAAGTCATGGGAAGAGGTGACGGCGGGCATGACTGAATGAATAGCTGCTAAGATTCTATTAGAATATGACTCCTGAAGTAATCACCTAGAATTCGTGCTCAGAGGGAAAAGCAAGTAGTTGCCGGTATAGTACAACTACAGTTGTAGTACCTCAACATTCTACGGAGTACAGTACCTAACAATAATCAATCGCCCGAGTCGCTCGGAGCAGTTTGCTCGGTTTGCAACGGCTACACCGGACGGCCTCTAAGGGATGCTTATCTAATTCGTGCCTGCCGAATTCCGCCTAGTCGCAGGGGAAAGTTTGTTCCCAACATATCCGGGTTGTTGAAAGATAACAGCAGCACTGCTCTCCCTCTGTTCGTTCACCTTCATCAGCATCTCGCTGTCCTCCGCTGCCTCTCATCCATCATGTTGTTCCGTGCTGCGGCCCGTCAAGCCGCCCCCTTGAGGCGTCAGGCTTTTGCCCCCGTTGCCCGTCGCTCCGTCACCACCGACGCTGCCTCGGCGCATGCTGAGAACGTCCCTCAGGTAAGACGCGCCTCCCAGTGAACCGATGGGACCTCAATGCTTCGTCCTCAATTCCGATTTTTTTCCCATCCAGCTAACTGTTCCTGTAGGAGGATGACAAGCCGTTCACCGTCCGTCTCTCCGACGAGAGCTTCGAGACCTACGAGATCGATCCCCCTCCCTACACCCTGGAAATCACCAAGAAGGAGCTGAAGCAGATGTACTACGACATGGTTGCCATGAGGTATGCTGCTACGGGTGCTCTCTGTCTCGCATCAACTCCCTTATTAACGAGTTTTGGAACAGACGCATGGAAATGGCCGCCGACCGTCTGTACAAGGAGAAGAAGATCAGAGGTTTCTGCCACTTGTCCACCGGTCAGGAAGCCGTCGCCACCGGTATCGAGCACGCTATCTCCCGCGACGACAAGATCATCACCGCCTACCGTTGCCACGGTTTCGCCATGATGCGCGGCGGTACCGTCCGCTCCATCATTGGTGAGCTGCTCGGTCGCCGTGAGGGTATCGCCTACGGCAAGGGTGGTTCCATGCACATGTTCGCCCCCAACTTCTACGGCGGTAACGGTATCGTCGGTGCCCAGGTCCCCGTCGGTGCCGGTCTGGCGTTCGCCCAGCAGTACAACAACCAGAAGGCCACCAGTATCATCCTGTACGGTGATGGTGCCTCCAACCAGGGTCAGGTCTTCGAGGCCTTCAACATGGCCAAGCTGTGGAACTTGCCCGCCCTGTTCGGTTGTGAGAGTACGTTTTGCCTTCCCTTCCCAGAAGAACTCCTGTTAACAATTCGTCCCTAGACAACAAGTACGGCATGGGTACCTCCGCCGCCCGCTCCTCCGCCCTGACCGAGTACTACAAGCGCGGTCAGTACATCCCCGGTATCAAGGTCAACGGCATGGACGTCCTGGCCACCAAGGCCGCCGTCAAGTACGGTAAGGACTACGCCACCTCCGGCAACGGACCCCTCGTCTTCGAGTACGTCACCTACCGCTACGGTGGTCACTCCATGTCCGACCCCGGTACCACCTACCGCAGCCGTGAGGAGATCCAGCGCATGCGCAGCACCCACGACCCCATCGCCGGTCTTAAGCAGAAGATCCTCGACTGGAGCGTCTGCACCGAGGAGGAGCTCAAGGCCCTCGACAAGGCCGCCCGCACCCACGTCGACTCCGAGGTCGCCATCGCCGAGAAGATGCCCGTCCCCGACAGCAACTCCCGCATCCTCTTCGAGGATATCTACGTCCGTGGCAGCGAGCCCCGCTGGATGAGAGGCCGCACTGTCGACGAGACTTTCTACTACTAGAAAGTTTTTTTTACTCCGTCTTCAGTTTAGCCATTGGTTGTAGGCAAAAGGAACGAGGGGAAGAGGACAGAAAGCTAAGAGGGGGGAGAGAGAGGAAGAGATATCCGCTGGTGATGAAGGAAACACTCCAAGGATGATGGTGTTGCGTGATGGGGGAATGACCCAGAAAAAACAGAAACAAGATTGGCATTCCCGCTACGATTCTTGTTTTTTTTTTCTTTCTGACACAAAGCATCTAAAACCCTCCCACACAATCTCACTCATACACAAAGCTCTCATGGAACGGTTGTTATCAAACTATGTAATTTAGCCGGGAATTATCATTATTTTTTTATTGTTGCTTTTTGACTTCATTCGTGCTTCGCTGGGGCCCTGCCTTCCTTTCCTGCGTGCTATACTATACCTACCATGTTCTAGGTTTTTGGAGGCAATATAGACTGCGATGTTTCGTACTGTGATCTTGGTTTGGCGAGTGAGGCTCATGACGAGATATAGAACTTCCGAGTGGATGGTTCTTTTGTGAACCGTCCAGCGGGATTAAATATATATTTCAGGTATCTTGAAGGGTAAGGTAATATATAGGTGTATGTATATAGGAGGAAAGGTAGCAGAAGCAAGGACACGGAAGTGACAAATAAAAAGGCTGGCCGAGCAAAATTAAACAGACAACACTGCTCTAGACCAGTGGGTATCATATGCAAATATATCACGATATAGAAGAAGACAAAACAAGGGAGTATATGGGGTATTAACATGACGTGATAAATGGGGAAAGAAAAGGAAAGAAGAAGCAAGTCAAGACGGCTCCTGTCTCAACATCTCTAAGATCATCTCCTGCGTCCGTTGCACCGAGTCCAGCTTCTCCTCGAGACTCGCGCGGTCCTTGGCCAGCTCGGACCGCATCTCCTCACGCATCTCCTCGCGGAGTTCGGCTTTGAGCTTGGCGATGAGGTGAGTTGGGATCGGGAGGGAGGAGACTTGGGACATCTTCGGGGCTTGGGTGGGCGAGGGGGGGTCGTCGGGGTTCGAGCTGGTGTCGGATTGCGAATGGGATGGTTGTTGAGGTTGTTGCTGCTGCGCTGTGGCGGCGGCGGCGGCGGCGGCGGCAGCAGCGCGTGAGCGGCTGTCGGTTGTTTCGAGGGGTTTGAAAGAGGTTTGTAGGGTGGTGGTGGGATTGGCAGCGTCGAGGTGACGGTTGAGTTTGCCCAATGTTTCTAGAACGGCACTCATCATCGACGACGACTCTGCGTTACCCGCCTCGCCTCCTGAAGGGGTGCTGTTAAGTTGTTGTAGAGCGAGGGACCCGTCCAGAGACGGTCGGCCTGCGCCGCCTAGCATAGTCGCTGGGGCTGGAGTCGGGGTGTGGTACTGGGACTGCGGTTGACTGGCGAACATATTATCGAATCCGGGGGGTAGACGGACTTTGGTGTGCTGAGGCGTGGAGGCGGGCGGCGTTGAGAGCGCTTGCTGCGACGGGGTTGGAAGCTGCGCAGCAGCACCACCAACGTTCACCAGCGGGCTTCCACTACCACTCACACTCCCCGTCGCTCTCCAAGCCCCTAAGCTAGGACTGACCCCGTCATTGTTGCCGTTCACCCACACTTCCCACTCTCTGTCCTTTCTCTTCCTCGGCCTCCTCGAGTCCCTCTTCTCGATCCGCCTCGCTTCAGCCTCCTCCCACCTCTGCCACGTGGGAATCCACGCATCCACAGCAGCCCTCCATCTGAGATTCGACCGATCATCCCTCTCACTGCCCCCTCTCTCGCGCTGCTCGTCCAGAAACTTCATGCGTTGTTTGGTCACGAGTTCCACCTTGCGACGGACCGAGTGCCACGAGTACGGATGTCCCTGGTCGCGCGTGAACTCCTCCGTGACCGTCATCCACCACTTGCACAGGTTACTGCGCTGACCGAACTCGTGAGCATGGCGATTGCAGATGTCGAAGAGCGAGACTTCCTCGAGGGTGGTTAGGCGCTTCCCGTGTTTGCGAGGCCCTTCACGGTCGCCGGTGATGTTTAGGGAGTTTTCGGCACTGTCGTTGCCTGCGGCGGTAGCATCGAGGTCGAGGTCATCGCGACCATCAATGAGAATGGTAGTAGCTGTAGTGCCAGAACGGGTTGTTGTCGCATTACCGTTGGGGATGGGTCCGTCTCGCTGACTATTGGAAGGAGTAGTGATAGCGGTGCTGTTAGCGGTTCCGTCATTACCCCCACCTACAGGATGATGACCATGGCGACGCTGCTGCTGCTGCTGCTGTGCGCGAGCATGTGAGCGCGCACGCGCGATTGTGTTCGCGCCCATCCCATCGGAAGAAACGTAATCCTGGTCTCCCAATGCGTCTGCGGTGGTGATATGTCGTACGCTGCAATCAGAGGTATCGAAATCACTCTCTTCGCTCGATATGGAGACAGCTTGCTGTTGTTTTTGCTGTCGCGGTTTTTGTTTTTGTTGTTGCTGCTGTTGCTGTTGACGTGCATCAATGACCATAGGAACAGGCTGTTGTTGTTGTTGCTGTTGCTGTTGAGAATGCCGAGAAAGTGAGTGGGGGTGCGAATGGTGCTGATGCTGCTGCTGTGTATCAAGTGCAGTAGGCTGCGGCGTCGGCTGTGGTCGTAAGCGCAAGTTCGTGGACAAGTTAGGGAGCGTTGCATGCTGTGGGTTGGCTCGCGCGGAAATCATCGAGGGAAGCCATGGCATTTGAGGCATCTGAAGGGCCGCGGCAGAGGTACTTGGGGGAGCAGCAGTGGGTGTTATGGTGGTCGAGGTCGAGTCAATGCGCGGATTTGAGGCGGCGGCGGCGGCGGCTGGGGCGGCGGCGTTCGCGGTGTGATGGGGAAGATGTGGGAGGTGTTGGCGTTGGTGTCGGTGCTGCTGTTGCTGCTGCTGCTGCTGCTGAGGATGAGGATGCGTTCGATGACCAGTACTGGTGGTGGCAGTTGAACCATGCCAGGAATACATGGACATGGTTTTAGTGAGCTTTCCAAGTCTCCCAAAAGTGGTGAGAGGCGGAGAAAGAAGGAAAGAGGGAGAGGGAGAGGAGAGGGAGTGGAAGAGGGAGTGAGAGTGAGAGTGAGAGTGAGATTGATGGTGAACCGTGGACAGCAACTGCGGCGGGCGGAGAACTTTAAGCTAATAGTACTAAGAGTAATTAATTCACTCTCTCAATATTCAATAAGTCAATAATGCCATTCTTGATAGAGTCGCCAAGCCAAAAACCCAAGAAACCCTTTGTCTCATTACGCCCCTCTGAAAAATTCGACCCAAATGACCCAAATGTCTGCAATTTTAAGTCATGGCAGCCGGTTGGGTTGGTCTAGAGCCCCGCGGTGGAGGTGGTCATTTAGCATGTTATCTACTAGGTAACTATCACACTCGGTATTTTTCAGGGGCTGTTGGTATCTGGGCTACCTCATAGTTCTTCCGGAGTGATTGTCAGACGGCGTCTCGCCTCATCGCATTCAATAGGCACAAGCGATTCGCCATGTCTTCAAGAAGCTAAAGTATAGATACTCAAGAGTATATTCGTATTGATGATGTACAGTACAGTGGGATCCTCTAGCTCCGAATACCCTGGCTACTTCACTTCATTGACTTTTGCCCTCTCCCCTGGTGATCGAGGGGAAACAACAAACCATAAAAAAGAAAGAAGGAAAAAAAAAAAGGAATACACTGTAGATAAGCACCCAAGATGCAGGGGAACCAAAGAAAAAAAAAAGAAACCAATCCGACACATCGAATAATTAGACACCCAGTAATACATGAAGACTGTGGAACAGGCCCGCAGAACGGAGAGAAAACAGAGAAGAGAGAATACAGATGATTGGATAAAAACCCACGTGAAATGCACCTACCGCCGTCTCAAGTACCACACAAACGCCGGGTTGTTGACCATCTCGCCGAATGGCGTCGGCACCTCACCGAAGCCAGGACGAGCCACGGGGTGGCGCAGGTACACAGCAGCGCAAATGTTGTGATTGACCTCCAAGTAACGGGGGATCGTGGCGAATGCACTCATGTAGTCACGCGGCCTCCAGGGGGTGGCATAGGGCTTGGTGCTATCCACCGGGTTGTCGCGCATCTGGACGAGCGCCCGGCGCAGCACCTCGAACTCCTCGTCCGAGAGTTCCGATGTGTCCACCTCTTTCTCCGGGTTCTGGATGGCCTGACGGAACGCCTCAGACAGCTGGGTAGTGATGGGGCCGTTTTCGCCTGCCTTCGGGGTAGCAGCCTCGGACTCGGACTTCTCGGTAGCAGACCCCTCAGCCTTAGCCTCCACCTCCGTCTTTTCTGCCTTCTGCTTCTCCTCCTCGCCCTCGTTCGTTTCGGACTCCTCCTTCTTCGCCTTCACGGGCTTCTTCTCGGCGCGCTTGACCTTGAGAAGAGTCGTCAGCTCGGAGAACTGCTCCTCGAGGTTGGCAGTCAAAACCGAGCTGTTCCCCGAGCGGGACAGTACCCGACGAACGGCTCTCTGGAATCCACGCAGATCCTGCTTGCGCTTGGCCGGGAGCTCGTCCTTGCTGCTATTCATGATGGCCTTAGCCTGAGACATGAGCGCCCTGAGGGTCTTGCGGGGGGCCTCCAACGGCGCCGATTCCGCCTTGGTAGCCTCCGCAGCCTCCTCGGCCTCCTCCGCGGCTTCCTCCGCAGCCTCCTCGGCCTTCTTGGCCTCCTCGGCCGCCTTCTTGCGGGCCACTCGGGTCTGTCGTCGTTCCACCTTGTCTTTGGGCGCACCGGTGGCATACATGACGCGCTCGGGTTCAACCTGGAACATATCGCCGGGGTTGAGCAGGTAGCCGGGGAATCTCATCTACCATTGCGCGAAGCCTGATTAGTATTCGTCCAATGCGATGACCCAGATAGAGCTCCCCCCCGGAAGATCAGAAAACGAGCAAGAGAAAGAAACCTACCGGCTTGCCATTGACCTTGACGGCACCGTGCACCACAAACTGCCGGGCCTGTCTCGCGCTGCTCGCAAACATGGCACGGAAGATGGCCGTGTCGAGGCGACGCTCCAATGGGGCGAACGTCATTTGAACGTAAGGCGTTGTTCTCTCGCCCATGTAAGACGCCCGAGGCCCCCGAGGCTTCCCCCGAGGCTTGTCAGCCCCGGCATCCTCCTCATACGCCTGAAAATCCTCCATCTCTTCCCGTTCCGGGGCCTTCGTCAGACCGGACCCACGGCCGGCCGACATGGCGGAACCGTCATCTCGGGCCAGATTGCTGGGGGCCATGGGCACGACGCTGCGCAAGCGGGGGGAGAACATGCGCTGCCATTGCTTCTCGGAGACCTGTTCCCCGTGGTAGGCGCGAGCGGCGGCCTTGGCCTTCCATTTCTGCTGGAAGAAGGTGGCGTTTGGGCGGTAGACGTCCCTCAGCCGACTGAGGTTATACAGGTTATATTTGCTCCATGATTGCCGGATTTTCTGAACGGGAAGAAGATATTAGAGGAGGACTTAAAGGTGGGGGGAGAGGAAAGTAATGAGAAGTATCAATTGAAGAGCATACCGGTGTCTTCAAGGGTGTAGTAGCCCTGTTCCTCATGATGGCGGCGGCGAGCTTTTGGAGAGAGGGGTGGGTGGTGCGTGGGTTGCTTGCTCCTACTCTGCTGCTGTCTTTCTCTCCCGAAACTATCGCCGGCGGCCAAAACTTCGCTGCCGCGAGAGCACGTGACGGTAAGCACATGATTTGGAGACTACTGCCTAGTTATGGCCTGAGAGCTGAGGCAGACATAGTCTCCCGGCTGGCAAGCGTTATGATTGGCCAGAGGCTAGCTCGCTTGCGAGTAGCGCGGACTCACCGCCCCGTTGACGAGTATATAATCTGCCTTCACCCGTCGCCCTTTTGGACTTTTTTCTTCTTTCTTTTCTTCATACTTACCTTGTTTGGGTGGCTGCGATCAAGAAGGCGGTCCACCACGGATTGGTCCCTGCATTGCACAGCGCGGAGGAACAATCCGTTCAACGGCCTTCGGGTCATTGACAGGCGTATTCTTTGGCACTTTTCCTTCGGGATAACTATTTTTCTTTTCATCATCGCTTCGCCTTGTGCGGGGTTATGGAGAAGAGATGCTTTTCCACTTAGGCTAGCTAGATTTCCATAAGCAACTCATCCGTGTCTACGCATTCTGCAATGCTGTCCTTGCACCATGTTCTCGCCTTCTAGCTCAAATGGTCCAAACGCAGCCTGCAGCGTAATGGGTACTGTACCCCTGTCGCGCGTACATTGTGATAACCCCGCTTTCATTATTCGTCACGCGTTATGCTTTAACCTCGGCCTTGTACGTACATCACATCACTCCCCATCCCGATTGGCGTTGGGAAATGCCTCCAGCAGCGCCTCTGCTTCCTGCGGATTGACCGCATCATCGAGGATCTCATGTGCCATCTCCACCGTGTCATCCGTTATCCCCGCTTCCAGTACCAACCCTTCACTGAACGCCAGCCGGGTCAAGACAACCAGGAACTTTTGCTTTCCGCCCGCCACGCGACACAACTTGGCCTGCAGGTCCACCTGCTCGCGGTGCCGCTGCATCACCCCGTACACAAGCCTCATTAACCCATTGATCATGGACGCGTGGAGATCCTTTTCCGGCGGTAGGGTATATAACGCGTGCACCTCATCGTGCATGGCCCGGATCAGTCGTGCGAGCACAGTGGGATGAGACGCCAGGATCAAGCTACCGTGAGTGCTCTCCGGCGCTTGAGAGTTGAACGCCACCGACGTGAGAAAGGACAGAGCCTCCCGCCGCATATCGCAGATCTCATATGGCAGATACGGATCTTGCCCTTCATCCAGCTGTGGAGTCTCGCTTAGCAGGTTCGCAACGCGGTCAACAATGTAGTTTTCGTTGGCGATCTGGTCCTGCTCGGTATTTTGGATGGACCCGAACGAGCCTTCTCGAATGCTCGTCGACAGCAGGCTGAGCATCAAGCTGATATCTCCTAGCGGCTGCGAGCAGTTCAACATCATCAAAACAAAGTCGTACCGCATGCAACGCCAGAAAGTCGTCATCTCCCGCTCCACATGCATGCGTCGGCAGGCCAGTTGGAACAGAAGACTTAATGCTTCGGTCGAATCTACTAATGGTTCCAACTGCGACAACGGGGTTTTCCGTACCTGGCCAAGGTTCTGTCGAGACACAGGAGAATGTTTGAACCGGGGCACACCGTTGACATCCCCGGACTCCTGTAGGATGGGTATCAAGTGCTCAATCAAGTCCGAATCATATGATGGCACGTTGATCGAGATCAGGAACCCCATGATTGACATGAACATTGGGATGGGGAGATAGTACTTCTCGCTCAATGCGCGGCCCCATAATGAGATGATGGCCCGCCCATATTCCACCATATAGTTGCCAAAGTCAAGCTTGGCCGTCTCACCCAGCAAGATCGTAGATAACATCTGCTGGGGATCGGAGGGGAAAGCCAGCCCAGCCATAACTTCAATGTCAGGCTTCCCATCCGCAACTGTCCGATGATTCAAGATACGCTTCACGATACTGCTGTCGTAGCTCCTGACAAAAGGAACAGACTGTTCGGGAAGGACATCCACCATTGCATCGTCGGACAAGTCTTCCGCTGCTTCGTCCGGCAGGGGCTCTGCCTGCGGACTCAACTGCAATGGCGTGGGACTGTCCTGACTGAGCTTCCTCTTTCTCTTCCCAGGCACAGTTGGTGTAGTGCGCTTCGACTTCACCGACTTAGTAGGCGAAATAGCGAGGATCTCATCATCGTCAAAGCCGTCTCGGAAAGGCAGGACCCTGGTCTTCTTGGGGGTCACCGGCGGTGCTTTTTCCTCCGTCCGAGGCTTTGCCTTCAATTGGTTGATGCGCATCGCTTCCTCGGCCAAATCCTGTTTGAGGAAGGCGTTCTCCGTGGCGAGCATCTTGCCCTCTGCACGCGCAGCCTCAACCTCTTCTCTGTGCCTGGCGGCCTGCTCGGCCATGGCCTTGCGCAGTGCCGTCATCTGTCGATCATAGTCCTGGGTGACCTTGGCCTGGTTGGCTCGAATGATGGCAATCTCACCGGTCTTCGTTTCCGCGATCGATTTGGCTGCCGTCAGCTCTTCTAGTACCTGCTTATAACGTTCATTCTCCATCGCCAGCTATTTCAACGATTAGTTCTGTAGGCGTGCAGTCTCCGATCACCTCTCCCTAGCATTACCTTCTCGCTCAGTTCCGCATGAGTCCTGTGCAGCTCAGCGTATTGAGAGGACCCTCCTCCCCCCTCAATCTCCATTGGATCGGGCAGGTATCCATACTCGTCCTCCGCCTCGGCTCGTATGTTACCATGTTCGACGTGAGGATGCGGCTCATTGTGATGGGCAGGTGTAGCAAAGACAGAGGCTTGCTGGAGCGCATCGTCCGGTTGGATGGCAACACCATTGTCCAGGACTTCCGCGTCGAGCTCGCCTATGTCCCAGTCGTCATAATCGTTGATCAAACCAGAGTGTAAACGCGGAGGGGGTTGTAAAGTCGCGTTGGAAGGCTTGAGATTATCTCCGGAGATAGTTTGATGATCGGAGCGGACATAAGGGCGAGTAGAGACCGTCAACTCAGGCAGGGGCTGTTGTTGCTGTTGTTGTTGGGTAGCTGGGGCTTGAGTGGCACGGTAGGCATTTTGTTCGAGTTGGTAGAGGGTGCCCGGTGGCAGGTCGTCGAAGCCATCGTCGGAGAAGAAATCATCGTCGTTTTCTTCCATGCCCAGCGATGGACGATCGCCATGAGATGCACGTCCTGGTTGCGAGAGGGGAGGCAATTAAGTAGATGCGTTGAGTGTATGATAGACGATCAATGAACGAATAAGGAGACGATGAATGCGGGAGAGAAAGAAAAAAAAAAGGTAACTTGGTTAGCAGTAGTTAGTAGTTAGTAAGTGCGGTTGACTGACGTCGACGGGGGTTTAGGCGCGTAATCAAGAATTCCCGCCGGCTCAACTCCTTCTCTCCCTCCCTTCCTCGATCTTTCTCCTCCACCTCCACCTCCTCTAGTTATCTCCACCTCTTGCTGACCAAAAAAAACTTCCCTGCCATCGCCTCGACTTTTTTTGTTTTGTCGACTCTTTTTGTGGAACAGTCAGTCACCCAGGTGATCTCTCAAGCTTGCAATCAGGGCAGACCACAAGCCACCTTGATCCTAATTGCTTGAGGCTCACGTCTACCTGTTGTCTTCATTCCTCGGTCGCCAGTTCACATGAATTTTCCCTAAGAACGACGATCATTGCAGCTTCACCCTTTTTCTTTTGTGCTCTGGCATCCCTGCTACCCTGTCCCCCTTTTCTCATCAGCTTTTCTCTTTTGATCAGTTCCACCCTTGCTTGGTTCGGCCCCTTCCGAACCTTTTTCTCAGCTCCCAAGCTCTCGCCAGCTTCTCCTTCCGGCCCCGCGCGCTCCTCAACCCAAGCAGCCGCTCAGTTCCGGTTTCCCCTCGTCTGTACATACATACTCTTCCACCATGTCTAAGACCCGTCGAAACGTCAGATTTCCACACAGGATGTCGAATGCCTCGGAAGGTCGTCGGTCGAGTATCTCGGAGGCCAGCGACATCCTGTCTGACCCGGGAAGTCCGTCCAAAGACGGCACCGTTGCGAAGCCGGCCACAATTCCGGAAGAGGTGAGCAGCGCACCACCATCTGCACAACCAAACAGACTTGCTGACTCCGCGCAATCAGAAATCCGAAAAGTCCCAGTTATCCGACTATGAAAAGAAGAAGCAGACCTTCATCACACGCACGATATGGACCTTTGTCATGATCTTCGGTTTCTTCGTCGTCCTATTCTCCGGCCACATTTACATTCTCGGTATCGTCACCGCCGTTCAGATCGTTTCGTTCAAGGAAGTTATTGCGATCGCCAACGTGCCCAGTAAAGAGAAGAACCTTCGCTTCACAAAGTCGCTGAACTGGTATTTTCTGGCGACTACGATGTACTTCTTGTATGGAGAGAGCGTTATCTACTATTTTAAGCATATCCTATTGGTCGACAAGGTCCTGCTCCCTTTGGCGAATCACCACCGATTCATCAGCTTCATGCTCTATGTCATGGGTAAGTTTATGTTCAGGATCCTAATGGCATCTTTACTGATTGGTCAGGATTCGTTTTCTTCGTCGCATCCCTGAAAAAGGGACACTATCGGTTCCAGTTCACTCAGTTCGCATGGACACATATGGCCTTGTACCTCATTGTTGTTCAAGCCCACTTCGTCATGAACAACGTTCTGGAGGGAATGATCTGGTTCTTCCTTCCTGCCTCTTTGGTCATTGTTAACGACATCTTCGCTTATGTCTGCGGTATCACGTTTGGTCGGACCCAGCTAATCCAGCTGTCGCCCAAGAAGACTGTTGAAGGTTTTATCGGCGCATGGATCTGCACCATCATCTTCGGTTTCTTCATCACCAACATCCTCATGCGCTACAAGTATTTCATTTGCCCTGTCAATGATCTCGGGTCGAACGTGTTGACCGGCCTCGAGTGCACCCCCAACCCGGTCTTTGTCCCTGAGCCGTATTCATTCCCGGAGTGGACCGGTGTCGACAAGACTTTCTACATCGAGCCCATGCAGTTCCACCTCATGGTCTTTGCGACCTTTGCTTCTCTCATTGCCCCCTTCGGCGGTTTCTTCGCCTCTGGGCTGAAGCGGACGTTCAAGATCAAGGACTTTGGTGAATCGATTCCCGGCCACGGCGGCATCACCGATCGGATGGATTGCCAGTTCATCATGGGATTCTTCTCCTACATGTATTACCACAGCTTCATTGCCGTTTACAAGGCCAGTGTTGGGGACATCATCGAGGCCGCCATCACCGGCCTCACTGTCGAGGAGCAGCTCGAGGTTGTCCGTGGCCTTGGCAAGTATTTGTACAACCAAGGAACTGTTTCTGAAACGGTATGTTATGCGCATTTTACCTTGATTACCAGTGTGCTAATATGTTTGCAGATCTTGGAGTGCCTGAACACCGAGCTCAAGCGCCGCTAGAGCGGCACAAAATTCTATGATGACCTATTCTTGTTCCGAGACCTTTCTCCGTGATGAAGTCCTCTTTTTCTTCTTTCCTTCCGACGTATCGGAGGGTTACCCTCCTACAACTCACGATCAAAATATGCTTTTTATAATCTACCCTTTTTTCTCATCCTCCCGAGCGCAACCGTCCGACGGACTCACTGGACCGGAATCGCGAGGCTCGTCTACAACATTCGGGCTCTCTTTGACATGTGCATATACCTCTCGCTCTTGCAGCATTACCATACCATCGAAAAGGCCCGGGACAGCTCTCGGACGAATGAGAAGGACACGATGAGATGAATCGACCGGAAGCGAGGGAAGGAGGTGTGACAGACGAATTGTCGTCTAGCACCTTACCGCATCAATGGGTGGGCTTTGTTGTTCTTTTGTCTTCCAATTCACTTCTTCTGAATCGTGGCGGCAACGGGATAGAGCATGTCTCAGTAGGTAGACGTCTTTTTATATTGTAAAAATGTGGATATATAGCAAAATTTTGCTGGGTACTTCTGTTCTTGGGCTGTAATTGTGGTTAACTATGGCTTCCACATCTGATTACTAAGTGATTTTTTTTCTGTCTGAGGAACAGAATGGTCGTGCCATCGTTGCTTTGCAACATGATATTTGGACTCATGGAAGAGAAACATGAGGGTAATCAAGGTATATACAACATGCCATTTAAAACAATCTTCTTTCTCTTGTGTCTATCATAACAATCGTGATGAGGTGCTTGGGGTGTATGCCGCGCCTGGGGCAACTGCAGTATGAGCCTAGATCGGCCGGGTTGGTTTCTGCTGTCATGCCTTCGCCTTCACTCCCGCCTGGCCGACTCCTTGTAACTCCTCCACTTGCCCTGTCGACTCTCAGAAATTCTCGGTTGCTTGGACCGCGACGACTCGTGGGATGACGCAGGCCCGGTCTTCGTCCTCTCATGATATGAGGTGTAGCATGGCCCTAGCCCAAGTCACTCCGCACCTGATCTCTCGATGGGAGTTATGAGCAGAGCATGGGCTCTTCGAAGCGTAGTCACTAGCATAGCAGGTTCCAGCGCATACACCCAGGGACGACCGAACTGCATCATTGGATGACGGATGGGGTGCCTCATGGCACGACACTGCAATGAAGATCATGGGCAATCAGGAGCAGCAGCGATAGCAGCTAGCCATAGACGCCCAATCTTTCCGCCAATCCCAGCTGCATCTGAATCTGTCCCTACGGATCTCTCCTGCACCCATGACCACCCCGCCATGCCATATATCAACACAACAGTCCTTCCGTCATCCAGAGATCCAAAACAAACCCAACCCGTCCAAAAAGAGTCTTACATAAATAGTTTCAGAAGAGAGTCCGGAGGGCTTTTCACTCCTCAACTTCATACTCCTCGACCTCCACCCGAAAATATTCCTCGACGCGGGACCTCTCCCCCTCCGCGCGGTCGGGCTCCAACATAAACCGCACCGCGTATTTTTCGCCGGCGCGGGGGCGGTCCCCGTTCGCGGCGACAGGGGTAAGCGGGTGGGCGGGTTTGACTGCGGCGTTGGCGGCCGCACTGCCATTGGGGTGACCACCACTCGTGCCATTCGTGTAGGCCTTGCTGCCCTTGGGACCGCGTGGAGGCGCTTTCGGCTTCGCGTCGACCCAGTGCGTGTACCGGGGGAGTTTCTTCTCCTCTGCCTCGGAGTTGAGCGGGATGCGGACGGTCAGGAAGCGGTCCGCGGGGAAGTGCGGGCCCACGGTGGTGGAGGCGCGGTTGTGGGTGTAGAGTTCTAGGACGTCGAGGAGGGTTTCTACCGGTTTTGAGTTAGTCAATGCATTTTCCATCAGTGAAGACGAGACACCCCTCCGATTGATTTCAGATCGGAATGAGAGAGGAAGAAGAATCACGAACCCATAACCTCTTCCCGACTCGTCTGCCAATCCTCGTAGTCCACCCCCTGTTCGACTTCGGGGATGCGCTGGTCCAGCAGCCGGCCCGCCAGCTCCAGGGCGCTAAACGCCATGGTCGAGGTGGTCTGCTTGATGGGCGCGTAGGTCCGATACAGATCCTGCGCGATGCGGTAGGCGACGGTCGAGACCTCCGACTGCGAGGTCAGCCCGTACTTGCGCGCCAGCTTGACGAGCGTCTTTTGCGGGTGGCGCGTGCGGAAGTCGAAGCCGGAGGATTCGAGCATCAGGCGCTCGAGGCCGATTATGCCCCGGGCGGGGATGTCGAAGGCCTGTGGTTGGGTCGTTAGTCTGGAATGCAAGACTTGTGTGGTAAAGTAGGAGTTGAGAGAGATTGAGAAGGATATGAGATAAGCAAGATAGGGGCGTGCGTGCTACCTGGTTGTCAGGAGCCACGTGCTCATGAGGCGGCAGCTTGAGGTTATACGCTGCACACACGATCTCACGGGATCGCTTGAGCGTGTCTTCGACCTTGCAGGCCGTGAAGAGAGCGGCTGTAGCGGCATCCTGGGGAGACTCGTTAGTGCTGCAATCATACTGGGACATAAGAATTTAGGACTTACTGTGTAATTGTACTCGTTGTCTGGATGAACGAGTCGAAACTTGTGGTAATACACCACCGCCGTGTTGAAGGTGCGGATTGGGCTACGCATGACATGTTAACTTTCTTGATTTTCTGTATTGAAATATGGCCGAGGGATAGACATACAGAAACAGGTTGCGTCGTACGCTGTCAATCCATGTTACTCCCTGTAGACGGAGGGACTCCTCGCGCAGGGGGTTGACTCCCATGGCGGCAATACATTGCTGGATGGTCTGCTCGAAGATGTACGGCTTGGCGACCTGAATGAATGAAGGATGGATGGGCGGCGGGTCTGGAGCCACTGTGGTGTCGGGTGAAGTAGACGAATGCGCCTCTTCTCTTTTGTCGGGCGCCATCTTGGTTTGATCTAGATGCGGTCGCATGCACTGCTCTTTAGCAGAATCGATGATGGCTGATGGTTGTGGTTTTAAGCTGGGGAGAGGGAAGTCCCATCCCATTCAATGATTGGTGTAATCCATCATCACCAGCCGGCGGTCAGGTGATCGGATGAAGTGCTCGTGCATATGCTGACTAAGGAGACGTTAAAACATGCATAACATCCTGCTCTCCCCGACGAAGATAAGCTGTGAAGAGTCAATCCCAAGAGTGTCCTTAATCAATGGATGAATGAGCAGAAGCTCTCCTCAAAGGAAATGATTCTCCGTGTACTACTTCAAGCTAGGGAGGATACGATGTGACTATCAATCTCTGCACCACACAATGAAGTCTATCTTCAATACAAGTTCTTCGATGAGAAATATGTTTTGAACCCAGAACTGAAATAATTTTGCATCACATCCCCTCCTTAACTAATTTCAAAGTAGCTTTACAAGCTCTGCAAGCTCTGCAAGCTTCTGAAGCTAAGCTATCTACTCAATACAAAGAGAAGATGATGGAAGAGCTATGCAGATACAACAATTCTTTTCTCATAACTTAGTAGCCAAGACCATCCCAGACTTCCAACACAGATAACTCTCCGCTTGACCGAAGTACACATTAAATTTTTTTTTGAGATGTTTATAAGTGAGTACAGATTTAGAAAGATAAAAACGGAGCAGAATTGTTGATTAATCATACGAAGGAGGCCACAAGCACGGTTACATATTCTCAGCTCTTAGAGTCAATCGGATTTCCTTCTCAAATCCTCCTGATCAATCTTTACTCTCCTTTGAGTCCCTGATAGCACACTATTCTGTCAGGGAGCTTAGTGGGTTACCAGAGCCTTCCCTGTCATAGGGCTGCAGAGGAGCGGGGCTTTCGCGGCCTCCGTCGGAAATGGCAACTGAGGGCCGGCAGACAAACTCAAGGATACTGGATTGCTTTGGGCGACCAGAAGCCGGTACTTAAGAGCTTAGGGTAAGAAGGCCTGAGATCACCTGCTTCAAAGTAAAGTAAAAGCAGATCTTGTAATTATCAATTTGGAGCGTCCCGGGATGATTGCTTGAAACAGACAGAGTCCCCGACACAAAAGGCTTTGATGATGTAGAGCGGGGTATAATCGGAGGCGGCATGTCAAGAAGGAACGACGAGTAAAGAAGCGAGAAAACATGCAGTGGCCGGGGTAAAATGCTTGTTCTCGGACATGATCGTCCTTGTTTTCCACTTACGATAGGATGACCTTCTACCCTCCTATAAGCGAGATTTTAGTAAGGGTCCGATATGCTCGGGCGGTTCACAAATGAGAAAGGACCGAGCAGCCAGGTTATGTGCTCTTTACGCACCAACGCAATCTGTTGCTGCATAGAGGAAGATGAGACAATCCTCACAGTGGTTTGTCAGGCCTGCTTGATTGCAAGTCTGCTGGGGCATGTTGTCGATAAATGGAGTGGAAGGAGATGGAGTTTTGTCGAGGGGGGAGGCGCAAGACAGAGGCAATTGCTGGTAAATCAAGACACCGTAGGCCTCCAGCATATGTTCGTGACAACTAGAAGAGAGGAGACCGCAAAAAAACAAAAAGGAAACCTCATGGAGGGCGCGGTAAATAATTTAAAATTAGAAACTGAGAGATGCCATGAGATGATTGAGGTGCATGATAGCCGACACACTCCCCCTGAATGTATCATACAGTATGGTACAGACGAGGTGTACATGGGCAAAGCATGGCAATACAGCACTGATAGACATCACAGCTTGCGCATGCAGTATGTGATGGCGCCTCTAGATGAAAGGAAAACGGGGAGAAAGAGCGTTGCAAGCGCTGGTCACATACTATAGTCTATAATTAACACCTACATGGTTGAGACCATGGGTTGATAGGCGTAGCTTATGTCGAAGAGTGGAGACAGGAAGAGAATGATGTGATGAGATGAGATAGCATGATAGAAAATGATGACAAGACGAACAGAGAGGTAGGGATGAATGCATGGAAAGTCGAGTTTGGGGAGCCCTGACACAGAGAAGCTTGAAGGTGACTGGTCTGATTCGATGAACAAGGTGGGTGTAGAGTTCGAATAAGCGCGAGATAGAACCACATGGGAGGATAATAATAGAACAAGAGAGCCTTAACATAGGTAGGCTAGTTTGATGAGCAGAATACGACTCACTAAGTGGCTCTTGAGACAGGAACGGGGGGGATAGGGAGGGGAGTAGGCCGGTTCCTATTGATCAGTGGGCTTACCAAGGTAGACTGCGAGGAGGGGCATACGGATGCTACCGCTTTAACTTGTAGGGTCAGTCCTGTAGCCGGTAGATTAGTGGGAACGAGAGAGGTTTAGATCAGCGCGACCTTTCCCAATGCTTCACCGGGATTGGCTGCAGAGTAAATGAGATAACTTGGCTCAATAGACGAAGCGTATGCCGGTCTGATATGCGATTTCGGGTCATCAGGCGGCATTTTGAACTGAACCACTGCAGGCGAGTGGCAAGAGAATATGCGTGGCACTGGCTTGCAAGTCCGAGGATAAAGACCTATGAATGCATCTATAAGAACATAGAAGCAGGATTTGAGGAGAGATAGTCATGATTTCACATGGTCCATTTGCGCAACAAGTACTCGACGTGAGGTTAAGAAGTTCTGCTAGCGTGCCTGGGTGCCAAAAATAGCGAGCAGTTGATCTGCAGGGATGGTTATTCTTAGCAACAGGGTGTAGTTGGCTGTCTCCTTGGCAATCTAATCTTAGAACCCACTGGCCTGCCCCAGGCGACAAGCCATGGGCCTCATTGGATGACATGCACCGTCAGAGATCGAGCATTCAAACCACATCTTGACACCATGGAGCCTTCAACACCTGGCGGTTAAATGATGCAAGCACGGTTCCATTAACTCGCGTTCTTGATTAACGTCTTTTGAGTAACTTATTCTGTTTATAGACCGAACTCGCCATCAACGACTCTCGCATTGGTGGATGCTATGTTAATTAAGCGCCAGGCAGTGTTTGAGTCAAGATTGTGAGACTATCGGTTGTGGTTAAGGTGGTGACTTCTCTGTACCTAGTGGTTAGTTGTCAGTTGTAAATTGAAGATGTGAACGGAAAGCGTTAGGCGGGAGCGAGCCGAAGCGGGGTTCCATTGACTGTCATAATCATGTAAGGGAAGGCCTCTCAGTACAGAGTCATCGAATACAGCAATCATTTCGGATACGATTGATACTCTTAAAGCTACTGAACCATTGCAACAGACCGACTAGAGATGGCTGCACAGTTTCAGTTGATAGTGCATGGTTGCGAAGGGCGTAGACGGGCGCCTAGATATTCGCTGGGGTGATCCCCTCGGCGCTAAAACTGACACTGGAGGGAACCCTCTCGAACACCAGAAACTACCGCCAAAGCCTACTAGTATGGCGCATAAGTTAATGTTTAGATCTCGAGCCCAGTATTGATAGATATCTGTCGCTGCTGGAAAATATTGTCACAGTGTATAATAGGCGCTGAAAGCCATCCTCCAGGGTCCGGTACCATATCTCTAAAGCGCCGCGCCTTTGGATCTTTGATGTCAGGGGCCGCGGTCTGAAACGATATCTGGACAGACAGGCTCCTATCCCGCTCCATGATTGGGAAAGAGCCAACGGATAACGTCCTCGACGCTGTCTATCCTGGATAATCTTCTGCAGGCTATACCTTCTACGTCCTTAGTCCTGCAGGGACGGCTGTTCCCCGTGTTTTGCCATCCCCAGAGGACGGTAATAGAGATTCGACAGTGGCTGTAGAACCGCGCGCGTCATTGCGAACTCCTGTGCATGAATGATTCCAGATTGAACCGCGAGATAACCGTCAAGATGTCTGGAGAAGGTCGCCTACAGAGACAATCTCTGAATCAGATGGCGCGCGACAATGCTAGATTTGCGTCTCTCGACGTTGTCGATGGCAACAGGTCACCTTGAAAAGCCTATAAAGCTACAGTCATTTCTGTTGGCTGTTGTATCTCGCAACGAACTCCAAAAGTCCATCTTTCTGCTTCCCTTCTACCATTCTCTATCTTCATAATCGCGAGGTTCCAGCCGCACTGTGCACCTCCGCTAGTCGCTAGGCCGACGGCGTCTATTACCTTCGAAACGAGCATTCCGCCACGAGGATCCTAGGATCGTGCAAGAAAGCCAAGTTTCAGGCTGTGTATTATCACCCCACCTTCCAACGCCATTAGATCTCCATCAGTGTTTCCGTATGGTGTGTTTGTAAGTGGTGGTTGACTGTTGTTGCTATTTTCGAGAGCTGAGCGAGGCTAACCATGCGGGGTCTAGTTGATACGTACCATAATAACGTATCGATACTGTATTGTACGGGGCTTGGTAAGTTTACGCCTGATATCTTACGGGTAGTATAGACTTCTGACTGTGATCCCCAGATGCTGTCGTCGCCATCAAGCCACAAACCAAATCCTCTCCATCGTCGCTGCTGGCTAGATAAGGCTGCTTCCTCCCTTGGCTTGCACTCAGCATCATTTCGTCCCATATCCGCTGTCCTCCCCGAATTAGCCTGCTGGCAAGCTACTTTACATCGTTGTCGTTGCCTACCTCCGACTACTTCTACCTGCATACATTCTTCCTCATTGTCAGTCAAGATGGGACCTACGAAGCCTATCTTATACCCACTCACCACCCCAAAGACTATGAACTTCCCTTCCGAGCTGCGGGAGCGGACTTTCACCACATGCCTGGACATGGACGGGTCATGCAGCGTTGAGAAGCGGGGCGACGAGGATAATGACATTGCCATTACGCCTCCACCAGCCTATACCGAGTTTCTCAACACCTTCAACCCCATCTTCTCCAGTCCTACTTCCTCCCGCGCAAACTTCTCCAAGTATATGATGGACAAGCCTCGTCCATCGCCGGTGTCACCTCCCTCCAGCACCACCTCGACCACCTTCCCAAGCAGCTATTCCTCCAGAGGAAGCTCCCTGACCGTCCCCCCCCAAGCTCCCACACCTCCATACAGCGCCAAAAGTCCAATTCAGATTCAACGCATGCGTCTACCACCGCCATACGTCTACACACCTGTATCTGAGTCCCCGCGCAGCGCACATCCGCTCCGCTCACCCTATTCCCCCTCAGACTACTGGCACATCCGCCCTCTGGACTCACCTGCGAGTGATTCTGGGAACTCGTTCAGCGTCCGACATGTGGTGACAACTACAGTCACGTATAAGCGGGCGCCTCAGCTTGAACCCCCTCCTCAAGGCAAGCGAAGAAGAAACGGCAACCACCGGAATGCATAGAAGTCATTGGTCTGGCTTCAATCGTTTCGTTCTCTGTCAGGCACAGCGGTTATCATTTATATCTGCATACTCAGGCTTTCCAAGTGGGGGCTCAGAAACGCTCTGTGGGCCCAAGTCCTTCTTTTTGTTCTTCTGCGAAAGACTTCTTGTCTCCTTTTCCTTAAAGCTGTACAGTCCCGGGTTTTCATTGTTGAGTCTGGTACTGCAAGGCGGGCGGCGTTTTGGGTGGGCGAGGGAGTTTCCACTGCATTTGTAAAGAATATGTGAGGAGTTTGGCTTGCGTGTGTGGTTGTTTTGTTCTTGCTTGCAATGCAATTCTGATCTTGTGGCTCCCATGTATCTGTGCTTCTTACCTGCTACCTGCTACCTAACACTACCATCAGAACTCCTATAACGACATCTATCAACAGCAGCAAGGTCCTCCAGCGTCATCTCCAAGATAATCCCATGTAATGCCCTAGTTACGAAACTTACGATAAGAAGGAATTCTACCCCAAACGCCAGCCAGCCGAAGGAAACCCTCCTACATGGCCAACGAACCCACCGCAAAGAACCACACCAGAATCCATCCTGGCTCCAGGCGGAAGCTTAAGTTCCCTACCTAACCACCCGAACCCCCCCCCTTAAACCGCCCAATCACACTTCTTTCCAGACCACCGCAAACCTCCAAACAAACAGTGGAACCTAAGCGAAACAACCCGCAGCCCATGACATACACCACCTGGGAAAGTAGTATCCTGCCAAGCCCTAAGCCTCCAGAATGCAATGCGAAGGGGACAAACGGACCGTAAACCTGGATCCTTCCAACGCCTGTCAACGCGCGTGGAGCCCGCGCATTGGGTGGGGACCGCGGAGGCGGTGCGGGCGGTGCGGCGGCCCAGGATTCGGGCCCCCCCCCCAAAGGCCCGCCCGGCGGGGGTCCGCGCGGCTACCTGCCCAGTACCGAGTCAGATCCACATACTACTAGTACGGAGTATACCGCTCCCTACGTTCAGCAGAGGATTGGTGGGCTCGGGTTACTTGGGGGGACGACGCCCTCGGGAAGCTGGCGCGTGTGCTTCCATGGTTGTTTATTGCGTTGTTTGGTTTCTTTGTTGGGGAAGGATTGTGTGTACTGTACCCTGTCTGGGGCTGTTGTGGTTGTGGTTGTTTTTGTTGTTGTGGTATTGTATGATACGGGTTAGATTGGGGTCCTGGGCTGGGAGAGGGGCGCTAAGTCGGTTGTTGAAGGTAGGAGCTGAGGGATTTCGGCTGTGAGACGCGGAGGTGTAGGCAGTTGACAGGTAGCTAGCTTAGCTGACTGACTCCCGGCTAGTTGACTTATTTAGTTTTGATGAGTCAGTGGTCAGTCGTCGGGATGAGTGTTGGGTTCGTTCTTTGCTGGCTTCGTAGACTGACGGCTTGGTTCTGATGATGGGGAGGAAGTAAGGAGTTTGTCGTGGAAAGAATAAGAAGATGAGTATGATGACCGTGGGACCTTGCTGGGTCTTGGTATATTGTGGATAGATTACTTCTCTTTTTGGAATTGCTTTTAGTAAACGGAGATTATATCTACGGCTTTTAGGTTGCTTACATTTGATCTTTGAAGATGCATGGTTTCCTAGCATGCTCAAGCTAGAGCTACAAATGTAAGGAGCTTATGTCTTGTCCTAGGGGGCAGACAGCGGGGTTCAGTTCTAGGGCCTGCGTGTATCTGCTAACAAGTTGGCAATCAAATTCACTGAGTAGAAATTCTGGCCCACAAATTGCCTAACAGCTAGTGATCTATGATGGGTTCAGGTCGCAAAAGAATGAATCCGAAAGTGTCATAAAAATCATATATAATGGAAATAAAGGCCATAAGAATCGCATAGACAAAGTGGTATCAAAGAAATGAAGGTAAGAAGAGAACAATGAAGGCCTCGAACGACTTCGTCCAAGGAAGAATGGAAGGTAAAAAAAAGTTATAAACTCGAGAACGTGCGACCCGGCGTTTTAACAGCAGCACCGTTCACAGACCAGCTAGCTAGCGAGTGTATAGGGTAAGCAAAGACATTGAGGAAACCAGTTCAACTGAAATGTCAAATAGCAAACAGGGCGGAAGATGAATCAATAGAGAGAAGAAAAAGGAAAGCTGAAAGCGGACAAGCAGAACTCCACGCCACAGCGCATGGCATCTTGTCATTGAGGATCCCAGCGACCGGACTTTGCAGGGGCGGCGTGGAATTGCTGTCATCGATAAGAGCAGCAAAAGTCCTCTCCATATGTACATGCATGGAATGCATACACTGTCTTCGCACCAATATTTTGTTGGCACTGATCCATGAAGAATCAGTGCCAGGGCGAAGCCATTTTGAGACTCGCCGTCCTCCTACATGAGGAGAAAGTTCCACTTTTTGCGTGCCATGACTTCACGCCAATGAACGCGGTGTGGCTTGGTCTGCTGCACAGTGCTTTGCTGCTGAAACGTAGCAGTGGGAGGAGGCGAATTAAGCACGTCTTGCTGGGAGCTGGTGGCAGAAGAGGTCGCCGTGAGAGAGCTTTTCCAGACTTCTTTCAGCACGCGGTACATTTTACCAAAGCTTCCGAAGTTGCCAAGGTAGCCTAGGGCCGCGACTCTCTCGGTTAGGATCTTTCGGAACGAGCTTGAAGGCAATGAATAAACCCCTGCCATAAAGAGCGGCCAGACCAGAGCACGGTCAAAGCCCATAGGTCCTGCAGGAAGCAGCAGCAGAGTGTTGGCCATGGAAGATACCATCTGCACGACAGAATCCTCTTGGTGGTCAAAGCTGGGGATAATGGTGTAGAGATAAATGCGCGCAGCAATGCGAAACATAGAGCTCAGCACCTTTGTCACTTGTTCTGGTCTGATACTGCCGGTTGATGTGTAGATACCCTCAAAAGTTGGCTCAGACGGCTCGGTCCAGTGGATCTGAGTGTTCAAAGCTGAGACATGATGGCTAATGGTCAGGTCGTCCAAAGTACCCTCAATCCTTAGCGACTCAAGGCAAGAGATCTCGGAGATGAGATACATCACGCGATCGTCGCAGCCCATGAGCTGCTGAAGGCCAGAGGCAATACCCCTCAAGTGCTTTGTGCGGTATGTGTGAGAGAATTCAGGTGACCTCCCCGTCATGGTGGCGCCCAAGATATCGATCCATGTGATAAGAGACACATTGAAGGGCGACGGAGGGTACTGAAGCTTCTTGACCAGGTTTGTGACTGCCTGGAAGTGCTGACTCCAAGGGATATCCGGAAGGTAGTTCTCGGGCGTGCTGATCATGCAAGGATAGAAGATCATTGCAAGGGTAGCATCCATGACTTGGACTGAGCTGTTTGGGCGATTTAGGGCCCTCGAGAGCTGAGAGATCGCTGCATATCGATGCTGCATGATGTCATGATCCATCTGATCCTCCATACCCATGCTGGTTTTCAGATGAATCGCAGACACACTCAGGCAGCAGTGCAGATAAGAGCGATTGGTCATCATCGAGTTCACAATCTCTCTCACATGGACATTGTGTCCCGGATAGATTTCTGGGATGGGTAGGACCAAGCGTACAACATGATCAATGAAGTTATCCAGAAGCGGCCTCTCAGTTTCGCTCAGCGGGATCAGAGCGTGCAGATAGCCTGTCAGACTCCTGGTGTATGTGGATCCTATGTCTGTGTGGCTATAGTTCTGTGATTGCCCACCGGCACCACTGCAGCAGCCAGCAGTACATGGGATGCAGGTGCTGCTGTTGTTGATGCCCAAGTCATTGATGCCGCTGGTGCTGTAAGTGGATGGGGAAGTGATGGTGGCGGTGGGAGCGGCCATGTTGCTGTTGCTGTTCATGCTGTACCATTCGTTGTTGGTCAATTCTGGGGTTACCAACTGGACCTGAGACGTGAATGAAGGGGCTGGCGGGTTCATGGTTAGCAAGGTTGAAGCTGAAGAAGATACAGGCATCGAAGCAGAGGGCATGGCCAATCCGGTCAGAGACGTGTTAGCAGTAGAGCATACGGGAATGTAAGTGTCGGGAGCTGAGGGTGCCATAGCGGGACATGGAATGGACCCTTGGACAGGAGTCGGAAGCTGCGCAGAATAACCGAAGTCGACTTGCGAAGGAAGAACAAAAGCCTGACTTTCCATTGTCACATTGACATCGAACGGCGTGACCGGAGTAGGAAGAGACGCTGCGTACGGATTGTATCCATCTGCGAGCATTGGGCGATTGGATTCATGCTCTGACATTGTTGGGGCCTTTTGAACAAGAGCTCGAATCCGATTCATGTACTCTGCAGCGCTTTCGTTATTATAAAACGCTTTTGGCATGAGAAGCATCGGACATACCTTCCAAGGAGCCTTCTTTTTGCATCACTTTAGTTTGCCGGATCCTTGTCTTGATTCTGTCCATTTGTTTCTGGCGCAGCTCGGGAGTAGCCCACCACTGGGGGGTCTTATAATCACATTTGAGGCTGAGCTTCGCGCATGATTTGCAGGTTGGCCTGGTCTCGTCACATTTTTTCCGCCTCAAACGACAAGTGAAGCACCCTACACGCCTAAGTTAGTCACACACTGAATCAAGTCTCGGCCCAGACACAAGCGCCGTTCTTCGGCACAGCGCAACGGGAACCAGGCCGTCGGGTCTAGCATTGCATGCAGCATACCTGAGCGAGACCTGCGGTACGCCCTTGGACCGGCGGATCGGTCCGCCAAGTCATCTACATCGTCAGGATCCACCGCAGCCAGATGTTCGGGGACATCCTCCTTCGGTGACGAGTGGCCGGACAATGACATGATGTCGAATTGGATGGGTTGTTCCTCGGCGAAAGAAGAGTTCTTCCGTGCGGTAGCAAGGGACAATTGACCGAGGAGAGATCAAAAGCGAGTAGGGTCAACGTGATATGAAGTAGGCTATCTTGGGGTAGATAAGTTGTTGTATACAGGTTGTTGTATACAAGGCAAGAGTGAAGGTATGAGAAGAGGAAGACCGTTCTTGTCGGATGGACTGAAACATCGACAGTGCAGGAGGAGATTTGATGATGAGGATGAA